TAAAGGTCTTGAGGAAATCTTCCCTTCCTTGGGCCTGCAGGCTACTCCCCCTCTCTACCCACCGATCGGGAAGATTAGTGGCCCCCACCAAAGGCCAGTGTCTGCAGCTTTCAGCCAAACAGACGATGGTTCAAGCAGCACAACTGAGAGACGGTGGTTGGCCGTGGGGCACGGACACTGTTTATTGAGTGGCAGACACAGACAGGAGAGGTAGCTGGCTCCAGCACAGAAGCGGAGGCGGCGGATCACGCCGGGGTGCTGTGCGCATCTGGCAGCCAGGGCCATGCCCCCCACCCGAGGGGATGGCACAAACTCACTACAACAGAAGTGGCACGGAGCCGGCCGGGGAGGAGGTGGCCACAGCCCCTGGGGTCCTGGGCAAGAAGCAGCAGGTGAACTTGGCACAGGGCCTGGGGTGGGAGAGGCTGGGGTCTGGGTGTTCCGGGGCGAGGCGGAGGGGGATCACGTCTGTGGGGTGGAATAGAGGCTGTGGTGGTGGCTGCCTGGGCCCAGCACCTGGGAGAAGAGCAGAGGAGTGGTCCGCGTCTGGCTGCCCCCGTACCAGCCTGGCTCCCGCCCGATGGCGCCGTACCAGCTGCCGGAGCCTAGGCTGCCTGACATGCTGCAGACAGAGAAATGGGGTCAGTTCCAAGGCGGTGACCGGAGGCTTACAACAGAACCCAGTGACCCAGACATCCCAGGACCCAAGGCGTGAACACTGCGTCCTTGGGGCAAGAGGGAAACCCCACCCAGTACAGACGGAAATCAAGGCCATGGTAGGGGCTGGATGATGAGACCCAGCTTTAGGCCCCCAGCTCCATGGGGCGGGGCAGAGCTCAGGGGTCCTGACGTTGGGCTGGGGCTCCTACCTGGTGCTCTCGCTCTGGCCATGCTCCCAGGAGCAGCTCTCCTCCTCGCAGTGCCCGGCCCGGTCAAAGAAGTAGGAGCGGGAGCCAAAGACCTGCCCGTTGAGGATGCGGCTGGCGCTCTGGGGGAGGAAATCACCATTGATGCCCTCTCCTCTCCTCCATTAGCCTCTCACAACCCCCCCAGGCTCCAGCCCAGGGTGTCCCAGCGCCACCCCTCTACACTGGCCCTCACCAGGTCCTGCGGAGGCCGGTGCACCCGGAAGAAGCCCACCAGCAGGGTGGTGGGCAGCAGCTCCCACACAAAGAGTATGAGGCCAAACACCAGGTAGCCTTTGTTCCCCAGGTCATTCACCAGGTCCGCCTGTGGGAAAGCAGGGGCCTAAGCCACTCGGCAATTGTGCCAGTGGGGCACCAGGGCAGGGCCCAGGAGCCACAGCTACTGAGGAGGCAGCAGACATGCCGAATGCCCACCTGGTCGGAGACGTTGTACCAGTCGTAATCAAAGGCATCCAGCCGGCTCCGGGGAGCCAGGGCCAGGGCTGCCAGGTTGTAGCAGGCTCGACTGGCATACAGCAGGACCATGGCACCACCCATTGCCGCTGCCTGGCACACACTGGTCCCCTGGCACAGATGACAACAGGTGATCCTCAGGGAGGGGAGGCTCCAGCTTCCCCTCTATCCTGAAGACCAATGCCCAAAGACCCCAAAGGACACCAGGCACCGGGCACGTGACCCTACCTTGGCCTCCAGGTAGATGCTGGTGGAGGGGGCCCGCCGGGCAACAAGGCAGAGGCAGGCAGCAAGAGAGAGCGCGCAGATAACAAACAGGGAGTCGCTCACCAGGACACGCACCAGCAGGAGGGCCCAGGGCTGCGCCCGGCGCCGGCGGGACAGCACAGCACACAGCACATTCACCAGCAGAAAGAGCAGCGAGGCCCCCACGAAGGCCCCTCGGACAGCCAGCCTGCAGCCCACAGCACAGTCAGCCCGACCACTGCTCACCCACCACCCAACCTCCCCCAAGACCACAGTGTCAGTCAGAACCTCAGGCCATCCGGTCTGAACCTTGCTCCTCCAGTTTTACAAATGGGGAAACTGAGGCCCAAGAAGATCAGAAGGTGACTGACAGTTGTGGTACAGTGGAAGGAGCACTGGCTTGGGTGTCAGGAATCTGGGCTTAAGCCCTGGTGCTGCCTGCAGCCACATCTATGACCTTGAACATGTTGTTTCACCTTTCTGGGCCTCAGTTTCTTCGTCTCTCAAATGGAGATAACAGCAGCCTCCATTTGAAGTGGTAAAAATTAAAGACGTTTGTAAAAGCTCTTAATAAACTGTAAAATGTTGTACAGATGATAGGAGTATCGCCACCCAAGGTCACACAGCAGTGGTTTGGTTTTGGAGCTTCCAAGGTCTAGGGCCCCCAGCTCGCCCTCTGTCACGGGTGGTACTGGCACCCTCAGCTGCTCCCCCCGCCAACGGCTTCTATTATTGTTGCCCTTCACATAGGCAACGCCTCTGCTGGGCCTTCTGTGCCGGGCGCTTCCCTTTTCCAAGCCCTTCCACAAACATTCCCTGAGCTGTCCCCATTTTAGCCCTGCCAGGGGGGGAAGGGCCATCAGGCTGCTGCTGGCCTAGGGGCTGAGCCCACCAGTGTCCTGAGTACTTACAAGCCTCGGCTCATCTCTGGCCGACGCTTCGCCTTGGCCTTGAACACCACCTGGGAGCGGAGATGCTCATTACTCCTTTGGCCACTTGAGGCTTGCCACCCCACAGCCCGCGCCCACCGGCTTACCACAGTTACCTGGGCAAAGTAGAGGTTCATAAGCGTCAGTGTGAAGAACTGCAGGCAGACAGGGCAGCAGTAGAGAAGCCAAAAGGGCAGGGGCCCCAGGCGGTTGGCTCGGGGTGTATCTCGGAAGTAGAAGGAGAAGAGGGTGGTACGTAGGGCAGCCCAGAGCAGACAGAGTGCCAGGAACACTGTCTGATAGCTGAGACGCTTGTGCCCGTACAGGAGCACCAGCCAGAGCTGGGCATAGACGGAGAAGAAGAGCAGGGCATACAGAGTGGTGTAGGCCGCGGTCAGCCCCAGGGTCACGGCCGGTGGCAGCGCAGGCACCAGACCAGCAGCAGGCACCAGGCCAGACAGGTTACTCTCCATGTCAGGGAGGGAGGCCTGAATCCTGATACAGAGATGGAGGGGCTGGCAGGGAGCCAGGGGAATAAAAATAAATATGGAGGGGTGGGAGTTGCAGGGTGCAGAGACAGAGATGGGAGCTCAGGAAAGAAGTTGTGGCTGGCCAGGCCCTTCCCTGAAACAGAGGGACATTCGCCCTTGCAGCAGCCCTTGCAGCGGGGCACTGGCAGCCTGGGGCCCGGGCCCGGGCCCGGGCCCTTCACTCAGGAGCGTGGGAGGACAGTCTCTCCTCTCCAGGGCTGAGGATGGGAGGCGTGGGGGTGAGGAGTGTCGCCTCCCTGGGCCAGTCCCAGAGCCAGGAGCTTGGGGGTGCAGAGGCTGAGAAGAGGGGTACTTGGCCTTGGTCGCTCCAGTCGTCCCGGCAGGAGGGGGAGAGCCGGCTGATGCCTGTCGGGTCTGGGCAGCGGTCGCTGCTGGGGGCGCTCAACACCCGGCTCTCCCCCTCCTTAAACTGGGTGCTCTCTCCCCTCCGATAATCCGGATGGAATGGGGGGGCCTCTGCCTTCAGTCCTCGGTATTCCGGACGCTGCCACCAACCCACCCCCCACTGCGTCCACTCTCCAGCCGCGGGAGGCGGGAGGAGGTCGACGCCAGGCCCTCAGTCCGCCTGCGGGGGAGCCGGCTCCGGTCGCTGGGACCGGGGGCTCCGGGGCTCCAGGGCTCCAGCTCCCCGGCTCCTGCGGCTCCGCCCCCTCTTGCGCCTGCGCGGGCGCCTTTTGCTACGCAAATTGCGTACGGTCTAACCCCTCCCCACCAACCCCCTGACCCGCAACCTCGCGCCGCACCCGGCGCGTAGTCGGTCGAGAATGGGTGTGAGCTACGCCGCCGCCGGGCGCCATGGGTTACGAGAGGCGGCGGCGGGCGATCGAGGTGCTGGAGCGGCGCCCGGACGGGTTCTGTCCGTGGCCACCCGCCCTTGCTTGTTTGCGGGACCGCCAATTCCCACGCTTCTCTATCCCATCTCCAAACAGATATCGCGCCGCCAGGCCGAGGGCGGCCACGACTTCCCCTCGCCAGGTCTCTGAAGAAAACTTCCGCCCACAGCCAAGATGGCCTCCGGGCCCCGCCCTCTGGACCAGAACCCGCAAAGCCCCGCAGCCCCCGGAGGCCGGCCAGTCCCCTGCCCTAGCCGGCCGCGGTTCCCACTCACCTGGCCCGCCGCTAGCGGGCGCGAAGCCCCCGCGAGTCCTACGGCCACCCCCAAAGGGGCCCCTATCCCTTCTCCTGCGCTTGGACAGTCATCCTGCCAGGGAGGAGGCTCCCTCGCTTATCTCCAGTGCTCCCCAGATGGCTCGGGGAGTGGTGCCCGTGATGCGTGCGATACGAGGTTTCCACGGTGGGGAGGAGGAGGGACCCGGTCACCCAGTCCAGACGGAGTAGTAACAACAGCAAAAACGATGCATCCTACGGCTGAACTTCAGTTATGCTTTTGCTAAGTGCTTCCACCCACAGTAATCACGACTTGGTTTACAAAGTTCCCTGGTCCTTGATGGAAGTGTCATTATCCCCACTTTACGGGGGTGGGAACTAAGGTCCAGAACGGCTGAAGGACCTGTCAACAAGCTAGCCCCCAGGTTCCAAATTTTCGGGGGACCCTAGAGCCTCTCTCATCTGCTCCCACACATGCCCCAGGTACGAGGAAGTCGGGAGAAAAGCATCCGGAGACCAGGAAGGAACCCGGGAGGAAGGCGGTGGGCGGGGAGCAGGTTTGGCCTCGGGGGCGGGGTCTGGGCCGACAGTGGCTCCACCCCATGGTGACGTTTAGATAGCTGATTGGACCGAGTCGGTGACAGTTCCCGTTGCCCAGGCAGCTAGAGCCGGGCTCCCTCAGCGCTAGAGGGAGGCGCAGGCCGGGGTCAGGGGCCTCGAGATCGGGCTTGGGGTGAGACTTGCGTGCAGTCATTACTGGCGGGTCGAGCTGGGGCTTGGGTAGGGGCCTGGGGCTCCACAGCACCAGGGCTCTGGAAGGAGATTTAGGTCCCGGCTGAGCTCCTTGCCCAGCCAGACTCAGAGGACAGACGGGGGCCTGGGAGGTAGGGCGGACCTGGGGTTCTAAGGTGGGAGAGGGAACCTGGGGCACCTGATCCGCCACCTCCCCGCCAGCCACCGTTTGCCCCGGCTGTGCCCTAACTACCTACCATCTTGTCCCTACAGCCCAGAGCATGTTCCAGATCCCAGATTCTGAGCAGAGTGAGCAGGAAGACTCCAGCCCTGAAGATAGGGGCCTGGGCCCCAGCCCCACCGGGGACCAGCCTCCAGGCCTCAGCAAACACCCGTGTTCGGCCCTCCTGGGGGTAGCTGGTCACCATCAGGACCAGCCAGCCAGCAGCAGCCACCATGGAGGTAGGCACCCCCCCTCCAAACCATCTGCCTGTCCATTTTGCCCCCAGCCCAGTAACTCCTGGCACCTCAGCCTCATCCACATCCCCTGGGTGGCTTTGAGTAAGTCCCTAAGCAACTTGGGCCTCAGCTTTTCTCTTCTGTAAAACAGAGCAATTAATCACCACCATGTAGGGCTGTTAGGATAATTAGCAGAATATACAGGAAGCACCTAATTATAGTGTTGGTGCTTAGGAAATGATCAAATAATGTAGCTGTTAGGGTAGGACCACAACAGAAATCTCTGGGAGTCAAGCGGTGAACCAGAAAGGGGAAGTGACTTGCCTAAGGTCACACTTATTTGCCGCTTCCTTTGGGCAAGGGGCTCAAGGCTCCACGGTGCCTGCCCCAGGCTGCCAGCCCCCAGATCTGTGCTTTCCCACCCTGTGAGTTGCCCACACCAGACTATCCTTGCCAGCTGTCATGAGCAGGTGACCCCAAGAGGCAGACAGCCCTCCCAGGCAGCTGGTCTGTGTGGGGGTGGGGAGACATAGGCTGAGGGAAGGATGGGCACTGGAGGGCCCTGGCCATTTCTCAGTTTCCGCCTCCCAGGGTCCGGCTCATCAGGCCGTGGCACCTCAAAACACCACAGGGATCTTCTGAAAACAAAAGCCATGTCCCTCGCCTGCTGAAGCCTTTATGACCCTCTCCCCATTTTCAGGAACAAGAAGGCTTACTGAGGCCTCCTCCTGGCCCCATTCACACACTGTCCCTGAACGGCACAGACTTTCTTAACTTCCGGATCTTTGCACTTTGCTGTATTTCTGCTCACAACAGCTTTCTACTCCCACCTGGCTGTTCCTCCTCTATATCAGGTGCTTAATCTGTGCCCACGCTGTCCCAGCTGCCAGGGGCACATCAGTGAACAGAAGAGATAAAAGTCCTTGCCCTTGTGGTGCCCATATTCTAGTCAGTGGGGAACACGTGCCAAAAACAAATGAGTAAACAATATATTGAGCTAGATGATGACACGCACTGGGCAGCACTGTGAGAAACTTTTTACTTTCTTGGGATCGGCGGGGCTGGGGGCCAGGGCCCGCCTTGCTGAGAAGCACCATTTGAGCAAAGGCTGGAAGGGATGAGGCCGGAGCCACTAGCTCTCTGGGGAGAGATCCTGAAGGGAAGGGCAAGAACTTAAAGGCCCTGCGGCCAGTGTGGCCTGAGGGGTCCGAGTGGGGAGGGTAGTTGAAGTTAAAGGAGGGGGAGGGGCTGTTGGGCAGGGCCTTTAAGGCAGTGCAAGGGCTTTGGCTTTTGCTTTGAGTGAAAGCATGGTTGTGGGGGGCTTTGAATAGGACCCAGTGATCTGATGTGGGCATCAAGAGCATCACCAAGGCCTGTGCAGGAGGTGGCGGTGAACCTGTGGGCGGCTTGGGATAGTGTTATGGATAGTGATCGAAGTTATCGATAGTGATGGGGTCTAGGTTCTGCCCAAGGGAATGAGAGTGGGGGGGAGGGGTGGAGAAAGAGGTCAAGGAAAGGAAAGCCAGGAGGTGGGAAGGACCACGGCCGTTCCGTGAGAGAAGACTGGAGTGGCGAGAGGGAGTGGCAGGGCTCTGGATAAGCTAGGGGCGTGCCGTGGGGCCGGGGGACGCCTGAGGCATGGAGGGGAGAGCTGGCACAACCTGAGGAACTTGACGTAAGGAGAAAGGTGTGAGACTGGTCTGAAGTAGCCATAAGGAGCCAAGGCGATGCCAGACCCAGCCGTAAGGAGGGCTGTAGGGGGGAACCTAGAAACCCCTAGGGATGACTGTACAGGATTTCTTAAACTTTTGACTTACTTTTCAATGTCTAAAAAAACAAGTGATTTTTCCATGAAAGATCCCCAAGCGCCAAGAATCTGCTAGAGCCGCTGCTGTACTCTAGCTGGGCAGGGCCCCTTCACTCTTCACACTCCCTGCCTCCTGGGCTCTGATGGACTGTGTCCCCGGGGCAGCGACTGCAGCCACCTTGCATACTGTGACAGGTCAGCATTTAGCCCAGTGCCTGGGAGGGGCAGGTGCGTGGTGAGCTGTGGGTGTGGATGGTGGAGAGGGGAGGAAGGACACCCAGTGGGAGCAAAAGCCCAGCACTAGGCTCCAGGGCCAGGCTGCAGCGTGGAGACATGGCTGTACCCTGTAGTTAGCAGGTTAGTTAACTCACTCTGCCTCAGTCTCATTACCTGTTACATGGGAATAGAACTAGTACCACCTCTTAGGGTTGTAGTGAGGATCTGATGAGTTAATAGAGAAAAAGTGCTTTGAAACAGTGCCTGGCACAGAGGAGTGTATGCTGTTCTTACTATGCTGTGATCATTGTTATTGTTACTGTGAGTCGGCCCATGGTCTGAGCAGACCTGGGGGTTGCCATTCATTCAGCAGAGCAGAAGACATGAGTAACCAATACCCGCTGGTGGCAGACAAGTAAAGCGTAGGTTAGAACCAGAATGTAAGGGCTTGAAGGCCACGCCAAGGAATTCGGACTTTATCTCATACACAATAGGGAGCCACAGAAGGTTTCAGGCAGAGGACAGATACAGTTGGGTTTAGGGCAGGGGTTGGCAGACCGCGGCCACAGACTAAATCTCTCTTTTCGTATAGACCATGAGCTAAAAACGGTTTTTATATTTTAAAATAGCTGACAACAATCCAAGAACAACATTTCATAACATGTGAAAATGATGTATGAAATTCCACTTCCTATGTCCCTAAATAAAATCTTAGTGGAATACGCAATGCACAGTCATTTACAGAGGGCTTATGGCTCTTTCAAGCTGTCCGCAAAACTGAGTAGATGTGACCGAGACTGTGGTCTGCAGTGCCCTGAACATTCACTCTCTGACCCTTACAGAAAGCATTTGCCAGCCCCTGCTTTCTGGTTTTGTCAGCTCTGAGCAAGATGGGGATATATGTCCTTTGCAGGCCAGCTGGGGCTTTGGTACCCCAAGTGGCTTTAGGGTACGCAGGGAGTCCGGGCGGGGCCTGCAGGTGCCGAGGCTGCATGCAGGGGGCGGGCAGTGTGAGGGCACCTGCATGTGGAAGAGCAGGGCCCAAACTCAGCCCTGCCTGGTGGCCGAGTGTCACTGCCACCCACTGTCTGGCACGTCCCTGTTTAACTCCCTCTGGGGGGATGCTAGTGGGAGCATGACTGGGGAAGAGTTTGGTCCCACCCACTCACCTGGAAGCCCAACAAGGGCAAAGAGCTAACAGCTTTGCTGGGGTGTGGGCTCTCTGCAGCCACAGGCCCCCTCCCGCCGCCCCACCCCCGCCCCAGGCTTACGCTGGGAGGGCAGTGTGAGTGGGCTGGCCTAGGGACCCGCCCAGAGAGGAGCCACGCCCCCTCCCTCTCCCTTACCTTCCTAGTGGGGAGAGGCCACCTCTGCCCCACCTGCGGGCCTGCAGGGGTGAGAGCTGACTGAGACTGAGAGCGGATGATTCAGAAGGCTCATTCCCTCCCCGCAGGAAGATCACAAAAATCCCCCAGGTTTTTCCCAGTCAATATGACACTTTTTAAAATTCCAGGTGACACAAATGTGTGTCATTTTGACAATGGCTGGCTTGGCATGGCTACATCCATTACTCTGGCGAAAATTCGCCCACCCCTTAGGCTAGGCCCCTGGTAGAGCTGGCGCTAGCAGGAGGCCCAAGGCGCGTTCCCCGACCTGGGCCCCCAAGGGGAGCCTGAGGCATGAGAATTAAGATGCGGGCCCGAAGCCAGACTCATTAGGTTCGGATTTCTGTCCTGCTACCTACCGGCTGAGCGGCCCTGGGCGAGTTACCCCCTCTGTGCCTTAGTTTTCTCCTCTGTCTGATGGAGACAGTGAAAAGCCTCCCTCCTAGGGTGAGATGAGCCCATAATGAATGAGTGCCCGGGAGGCGCTTCAAAGTTGGCACATCCAGTGTTCTGTTGTGGGTCCTGGGTGAGGCAGCTCTGCCCAGACTAAGTGCTTATCTGCAGACCGCTCACTCACCTTCCTACTCTCGGGCCTTGCAGCTGTCAAGTGTGGTGGTGGTTTGGGTTCTTAGAGCTAGTAAAGGAGACTAACAGGTGACATTTCCTGAGCGCTTAAGTGGCCAACTGACTTCAGGCAAGTTCTTAACCTCTAGAGAACTTGGCATCCACCTCACTGGGAAGGTTGGAGGCCTCAGGATGGGAAAGCAGGGATGTGGTTGAGGTGGGCCCCACCTAGCAGCCGACCCCTGCCTCGCTGCCCATGTCCCGCAGAACTGGAAAGTGCTCTGTAGACGGGCCTGATCCTATCAGGGGTCTTTCTATTCCTGGCTCCTCTGGTCCCTATCCCCAGTCCCCACTCTTGATTTAGTTGTCTCTTCCCCACTGCCACCTCTATCCTCAAAGGCTTTATAGTGTCGCTAGCTGACCTTGGCCTGGGCTTTGGTGAAGCTCAGAACAGCCAGGCACTCTGACTATACCCTCTTGACCTAAGCCTTTCTATATCCAGCCTTCTCTCCACTTCTTGGCTTTCTTTTTCTTTTTATTTTCCCCCCAAAGATTTTATTTATTTTTAGACAGAGGGGAAGGGAGGGAGAAAGAGAGGGAGAGAAACCTCAATGTGTGGTTGCCTCTCACGCGCCCCCTACTGGGGACCTGGCCCACAACCCAGGCATGTGCCCAGCGTAGGAATCCAACCAGTGACCCTTTGGTTCACAGGCCGGCACTCAGTCCTGAGCCACACCAGCCAGGGCACGCTTCCTGGCTTTCTCAGCCATGGAGGTCCTGCAGCCCCTGGAGCTGACCCACAGGGCTCTGCTGAAGGTCTTCTGGAGGGAGAACATGACACTGTTATCCCCTAGCTTCAAGACCTGGCCTAACTAAATCCTGCTTCCTTCAAAACGCCTTCCCTGACAGAGTGGCCCTGCTATGGACACTGAGCATGTTCTCGGCACCTGTTCCGGGCCGGTCTTCCACTCTGTTACTTAGATCTGGGTTTTTGCTCCTGGGAGTGGTTCTCAGAGTTGGTCTGGATATGGAGTGGGGCTGGCAGGAGTAGGGGAATAAGGCACAGTACACAAGTCATACAAACTCCCAACACAGTAGAGATGCCCCACTGAATAATGACCCATCATGCACTTTCAGCTCACAAAGCACTATCATGTTCTATTTTATGTGACCTTTACACAGTCACTGGTGGTAAGGCAGGACTAGATTTCTCCCTGCATGGAGGTGAAGATACAGGCTCAGAGAGCAGAAGGGGGGGTTGGAAAAAGGAAGAGGTGAAACTTGAGGGATAATCATTGGATTTTGCGTTCCAACAAACATCACCTAGGCGCTTCCAGCCTCAGAGCTTCACAGTTGTGTGACCATGGGCAAGTCTGAACTTCTGTAAGCCTCTGTCTTCTCATCTGTAGAACACAGGCAATGCTAGCACTCACTTCGCAGAATGGTTAGTAGGATAATGAGGCAATGCCCAGGGCCTAGCACATAGAAAGTGCCCCACGTTACCTTAAAAAAATAATAATAATAATAATCAAGAAACAGGTCAGGGCATTTTCTCCAAAGCTGCGGGAGGTGCAAACATGCTGCCAACAGGTTCTGGTTCTCCGGGGCCTCCTGTAGGCCAGCCACAGCAGTAAAACAAATGAGCACCAGCAGCTCGCTGGCAGAGCTGGAGTTCAGCCCTGCCCACCTGAGGCAGGTCGCCTCGTCACCCAGGGAACTGGTCTCTGCTGGAGAATGGGGATGATTCAAGAGCTAACGACCCCGTGGCCTTCCATTAATAACTATAACTTACGATTTATTATGCTCTTATTTTGTGTCAGGCACAGGGTGAGGCCTTTTACATACTAAGACTCTAGCCCATTATTGGGGCTCAATTAAGATTTGTGGGATTAATGACAAGTTAATTCGAATTTTCATAAAAGCCCCAGGAGCTTTCCTCTATCTACATATGAGGGAACCAGCCCTCTGAAAGGTATACTCTGATGTGCACACAAATACATCAGCGGGCCGGTGGAGCTAGTGCTTGGGGCGCGGAGGAGGTGAGATTCACGTCGTCCCCGCACCATTGACCCTCTCTGTAGGCGCTGGGTCTGTGGAGCCCCGGAGTCGCCACAGCTCGTACCCCGAGGGGACAGAGAATGATGAGACCGAGGAGGAGCCCAGCCCCTTCCGCAGCCGCTCGCGTTCGGCGCCTCCCAACCTCTGGGCCGCACAGCGCTATGGCCGTGAGCTCCGGAGGATGAGCGATGAGTTCGAGGGTTCCTTCAAGGTGAGCGCCAAGGGGACGAAGGGGGACGACTAAAGCTGGAGCGTGGCTGCTCCATCGAGTCCACGAGCACGCCGGAACGGGTCCCTTTCAGAGCCCCAGGGCCTGACGGAATCTGTAGTCCTTACAACTCAATCCCAGAGCATGCCGGGATCTGTAGTCTTGACCCGCTCTCGCTCGAAGGCTAAGATTTGGAGTCCCCCAACCCGTGGAACTCGAGGCATGCAGGCATCTGGGTTCCCAGCCGGCCCCTTCCGGGTGTCCGGGTTCTTTCCCTTCAACTTTGGAACCACTTCTTTAAATCTTGAATTGCGATCCCATCTTCCAGGTGGCCTCCGGCTCTGGCGCTAACCTGCAGGGTCCTCCTACGCGTCCTCTCTCCCAGCCCCCAGCACAGAGCGTCTGGGGTCTAACTCGTCCCATTCCTAAGGGCCCAAACAAGCGATCTCTCTTGCTTAGACAAGTGGTCTGGAGACATCCCCCCTCCCCCATACTGGGCATGCTGGGGAGCTGTGGTCTTTATCTTCCCTGGGTTTTCACTTAGGGATGGGATTCCGGAAGTGGAGGGCCCAGACTCGGCTGCTAACTCATTTCACCCTTTTTTCCTCCCACCCCGAAGGGACTTCCTCGCCCGAAGAGCGCGGGCACAGCGACGCAGATGCGGCAAAACTTCAGCTTGACGCGCATCTTCCAGTCCTGGTGGGATCGGAACCGGGGGACAGGAGGCTCCGCCCCCTCCCAATGACACTTCTTCCCACACTCTGAAGCTCCCACAGCGCGCGCGCGCGCTGCCACTGGCAGCCATCTTGCGTGTGGGCGGAAGTCGTTTCTGAAGGCCTAGCCTATGCAAAAAGAGGATCAGGTCTCTCCCTTTCGGAAGGAGGTGTTCTGACACAGAGCCCGATTCCCTTCCGGAGTGTGCGGGGAGTTACCGAGGGTTTGGTCCCATCGGAAGTTTTGAAGTTTTTCCGCCCTCAGCCGCTGGAAGTGGGTTGCTCCAGGCGCCTGCGCCAAGTTGCTAGTCGGGATAACTAACCACCAGAACCCTTTTTCTCCGCGGTGACGACTGCGAGCTGACGCTCGCCACGAAACATGCTAATAAATTCCACTTCTGTGCCGCCGAGTCTCCTGTCAGTTGCTGGGGGCTTCGCGGGCAGCGCTAGCACTGACAGTTTAAGATGCACCTTTTTTACACATAAGGGAAACTTAGACTCTTTCTCAGTGACTTATCCTGGAACAGAGACCAGGAAGGGGTCGGCGCGGCAAGCAGAGTCAGGGCCTCTTGGCTCCCGGGAAGCAGAGCGCATTTGGGCCCCAGGGACCTTCAGGCCCTTATCTCTAATCTGGTAATTGGGAACCGCAGGCCGACCGGCCGCCGGAATTCCGCGCTCTGCAAACCGTGCCGCCGTCCCCCAGGGAGGGTCATTTGTTCTTATTTGGGTCAGTCCTTTAGAACAGCTACTGTGTGGCCGGCCTGGGGCCAGCGCTGCTAAGGGAACTGGCAGGGCGCGCAGGACGGGGGAGGGGGTGGCGGAAGGCTCGGCCAAGGGCTGTGAATAGAGTGATAACTAGGGAACCAGAGAAGCTTCACCAGGACCTGGGAGCAGAGAGCTCTGAGCTCAAGTCCAGGAAGATTTATTGGCGCCCCCTATAGATGAGCCAGTAATTTGTGCTAGGTATACAGAGATGAATTAAGACACAGCAGGTGAGTTCGAGCTGGGACTTGGAGAGATGGGGGAGGGGGCTGTCACTCTGGGCAGAGGATAAAACGGACCCATGGAAGTATGGGAGGAGCAGCAGAAGCTAGGCTTCTGCGGAGCTCGAATGTCATACCCAGGAGTTTGGAGTTTAGCCTGGTCTTTGAGGACCACGGGACTGACGTGTAGTGTTTCCATAAGTGGAGGTGAGCCAAGAAGTTAGGAGTTGGCTGCTGAGGGGCCTGCACACACAATGCAGTGGGCAGATCTGGGGTTAGGACAGGGACTGACCACAGAAGCAGGGAAGGCCTGGGCAATGGTACTGACCCTGAGGGCCCAGGGCCCAGAGTAGAGGCCCCCTGCCCTGGGAGAGCCCCACTCTGGGAGGCCTGTTTCTCTGGCCTCCCCACCCATCTGTTTGCCTGAGGCTGCAGCAAAAACAAAGAAAGAAAACACTCAATTGGCAGGAGATAAACCCAGATAAGAGGCTGCCTTCCTCTGTGGGAGGGAGGCAGTCAGCCTGGGAAGCTCCGCCAGGAAGCTGGGAGAGGCCTTGAAGGAGTGCCAGCCTGACCCTGCAGCACAGCCGGCCGCGCCCTCACTGCGGGGTCTCTGCCACTCCACGCCGTCGCTGTCCCGAGGCAGGAAGGGTAGGCATGGAGCAGGTCCTCCAGGCTGGCTGTAGACCTTCTGCCATAGAGTGTTCAGACCTGCCCTGCCTCCAGGTCAGGGCGTCTTGAGTTGGCCTGGCACACGTGACTTCTGTCTGGGCCTCAGTTTCCTCATCTGTAAAAGAGGCATAACATCTCCCTCACAGGGATTGAGGGGGTGCTGGGTCTCCCAGCCCCTGTGTCTTGACTGCCAGCTTCCCTTCTCCCAAGGGTCACTGCCAGGCCCACCCCCCTAACCCCCGTTGCTGAGAGCCTAGCTCCTCTGACGTTGGACGGGCCCTGAGCTGTGCAGCCTCACCCTAGTCCACCTCCAGACACAGAGTTAACGGCCTGCGTGGAGCCCAGGGCAGTCTTAGCAGAAGGTACTAGGCCCTCGGGTCATACCAGGCAAAAGGAATGGGGGCAGGGAAGGCTTCCTGAAGCGAAGGCCTGAGCCTCTGTGAAGGGACAAGAGCCCAGGAGGGAGGAAAGGAAGGCCCAGGAGCAGAGGGCGCTGAGGCAGAAAAGCCTAGGGGAGGCCGAGCGGCCTCTGATGTCCAGGGACTGCCAAGATCTGGTGGCCCCGGGCAAGGTTCAAACCCAGCAGCCCTTCCTCCACTAGGGGCCTGACCTTAATCCCACAGTGCCCGCCAGCCCTTTAATAGATGAGGAAACTGAGGCCCCAAAAGAAGGGGCAAAGAGGGCCTAGGACCCAGGTCCTCTCCAGCTCTGCTCCACCCCAAACCACACCGCACACAGGGTCCCTAAAATCCACTTTTATTCATATAAAAACGTCCCCAGAGAATAGAGAAAGAATGTGACCCCTGCTTCCCAGAGCTCTAAGTCGCCACATGGTGTTCCCTGGGGAAGTGAGGGAGTGGCTCCCACTCCGGGGTGCGGGCGTAATGGGGAGCAAGGGCCCCACCCAAGCTCTTCTGGCCCAGAGTGACCCAGCACCTTCCCTAGGACTGAGGGCAGGAAGGAGGGGCTGGGGACTAATGAGGCCCCAAGAGGGTGAAGGAAGGAAGTTAGTGTGGGGTGCTCGCCTCAGTTTAAAAAAATAAAATTTCTAAAGATAAAAAGTTAAAACAAAAAAAAGCACATTAGTGTCTTAGCTTCCGACCCTCCTCCCAGCACCCACCCTGGCCCTGTGGCCACCTCTTGCTCAGCCAGTTTAGAGCTTCGTATTCTCCTCTTGGCTCTCCGAGTCAGCGCCAGACAGGTGCCCAATGCTCCCAGGCGCGTGACCGTTGCTGGCACAGGCCACCAGATGTCCATCCCCCAGCCCCTCCGGCGTCTCGCCCAGCAGGCTCCGGCGGATCTCCTGGGGCAGCCTCGCCCGCTGCTCCTGACATTCCTGGGCCAGCTGGCCCAGCAGCTGTGGGAGGAGGAGGAGAATCACAGGACAGGCCACCCAGCACTCTGCCTGCCACCCCGGTGCCCGCCTCACCCAAGGCCTCACCCTGGGCTCGTCCTCCACGAGCTGCTGTAGGACCTGCTGCTGCCCAGCCACAACCCGTTCATGCCGCTGCTTCTGGGCCTCCTCCAGCTGTCGGGGGGGAGGGGAGGGGCAAGAGCTCAGCCAAGGGTCTCTAGGGAGAGGCCAGGCTCCCAGGGTTGTGTGGCCACAATTCTGACATGATCCTTATGGCAAAGTCTCCAGGCCCAGACTCCAAAGCCACAGGGCACTGTTATACACAATTGGCTTTGAAAATGGTCTGGGCTTAGGGGGCTGTGGGATCTGGAAGGGAAGGCTCCAGAAACCCCAACAGGGCAATGCCACATGAGGCCAGCACCAAGGAGACGGGTTTCTGATGACTGAAGGAAGAGGGGTGGGCTAGAGTGGCACCTGAGCCTTACCCGACGGATGGAGTTGACGGACTCGGTGATGTGGCGACGGTTAATCTCCGTCAGTTCCCTGCAGAGGAGCGAGGCAGGGCCGGTTCAGTGCCAGGCACCCAGCCCTGCCTGCCCAGCACCCAAATGGCTCCCAGCCCCGATGCCCTTACACTTCCTTCTTATGTTTCTCCCTTGTCTTGGCCTCCGAGATACTGTTGTGGCGTTTCCTGTCCAGGATTTTCTGCAGTTCCTTCTTCTCCCTGGTGGAGCCGGTGGGGGTTAGAGGCTCTGCCTTTGTCCTGACACCAGGGAGTCCCCCGCCCCACCCACACAAGACCCGCTGCCTTCACCTGTCGTTCATCTCCTTCAGCCTCTTGACCTGAGTTGTGTGAGCCTCCAGGACAATCTCCCTGAGCCGCTGCAGAACCTGTGGACACAGGTAACCAACAGGTGACACAGGCTGATGAAAAGACTGTCCAAGAAGGAGGCGCTCCCTCACCACCACAGAACCCCCCGGACCTGTCTCAGGTGCTCCAGCCTCCGCTCGGCCTCAGCGTCCGCCTGAGCCTCCCGCAGCTCCAGCAGACTCTGCACCTGTCTGTTCTGGAATTCTTGATACCGCTTCATCTCTTCCTCCTCCTCTTTCTCGTTCTCCCCGCCTCTGTGTGGAGAACCCCTCCGGGTGATGCTCAGGTCGTCACGTGGACTTGGCTGAGCCGGGAGGGTGGAGGGTGGCAGGGCATATCCCAGCAGGCAGTGACAGATATCAGCCCGGGGGCGGGGTTTATTATGCCAATGAGGAGGCCAGTTTGCTTCACCCAAGCCACAGGAGCCTGTCTGGGCAACAGCCTCAAAACACATGCTCCTCATGGGTGTCTTCCAATGAGCTATAGCTCTCCGGTGGAAAGAGGGAGGAACTGAAAAAGGGAGGGAAGCCTCCTCTCTCCTCCTTGCATTAAACCCTCCCCCTTGGGGGTCAAGAAGCAGCCCCTGGCCATCCACCATGCCCACCCGGTGCAGGAGAAACCCACGTGCACACCCCCACAGTCACATCACCGCACTGAGCACACACTCCCAGGCAGGCTGGACACTCACAGGACACCTGGTCGGTGCCGGCACTTGCCCTCAGCCCGGGCCTGGGCCAAGTTGTCCAGCAATCGGCGAGTGAGAGCAACTGCCTTCCGCTGATGCTTCTTGTACATCTCCCGCAGGTCTCGCTCTTGCCGACTCCGGAGCTTCACCAGAGACTTGTGGCCTCGCAGCTCGTCCAGCGGGGCCACGACCACCTCTGGGGAACAGCGGAGAAAAGGCGGGCTGGGACCGGTCAGGCCAACCCTGCAGGAGCACCACACCCCCTCCAGGAGTGGCCCCGCCTCCTTGGGTAGCCCCACCCCCACAACACCAGGCCCCTACCTGACAGGATACTGGCAATGAGATCATCCCGCTGACCTGGAGAGCAGAGGCAGGACTGGGAAAAACTGGAGAGGACCCCAGAGCTACTCCCCTCAGGCCACCCAAGCCCGCGCTACCCCTTACCTGGGCTGCTAAGGGAAGGGCTGGTGGGGGAGGTGACAGGGCCTGGGGGCCGGCGGGGGGTGGTGTCCAGTGGGCTGGGTGTGGGGTTTGGGGTCAGCTGGGACCCCAGCTGCAGAGACTGGGTCTCCTGGCATGTCTCTGGGCCAGCCTGGGCCTGTGAGGGAGGAAGCAGAATGCTCTTTCCAGAAGTGCTGTTCTCTCCAGGCTGCTCTGTCCTTCGCAACTTCCTGGGGTTGCCTCATGTCCCGGGGCTGCCTCCCTCTGCCTGTCTGGCCCTGGACTCATCTATAACATGGGGCTGTTAAGAGACCTATATGAGCCCTGGCTGGTGTGGCTCAGTGGACTGAGTGCTGACCCGCAAACCGAAAGGTTGCAGGTTTGATTCCCAGTCAGG